TTTTTTTTTAAACACCATAAGTATCTTGGAAATAGATAATGACTGTCAAATAATTGTAATATTGCAGGTTGTAAATGCAGCGAACATCTGCCATAGACGGCAGATGCTTAATTTTACATGCAATATTAATAAAAAGTTTACTTTTAGGGTCAGATATCTGCATTATTGGAGTGAAATACTCGCCACCCTTTCTGTTATTAACATAAAATAATCATCAAGGATCATTGTACAGAATGTTAATAACGAAATAAATAAATAAAATCCTTTCCCTGTTTGTCTCTCACGTTAAAAAGAAAAGTGTATTTACACAGGAGCTACCTTTACAACACAAATCAGTTGCACGGCCTTCTGGGAGCGCATCTTATACAATACAAGCATACTCTGGACTTGTTTCAACACTTAGTGCCTTCTTTCAAGCAAGCCCAACTGTGTTGATGAGACATTGAGTGTAGAAAACAGCCCAGAAAGTTGCTTGTATTGAACCAATGACGCTGGCAGAATGCAGTGCTAGAAGATAATGCTGCTGATGGGTTATGTAAAAAAATACTTTTCGTTTACATGTGAAGAGGAAAAGATGGAAGGGAGGTGTTAATCATTTTGCATTTAATTAATTGACCACACAATATTACTCGATACATTCTTCACTGTTCACTTTAGTTCACTGATACTTGTCCAGTTACTGATGCCTGCCCAGTCAACTGTACTTTAAGCATAATCGAATAAGTTACTCATATTACAGGTTTTTTGGGTTAGATCGTGTAAATATAAATGCGTCGTTAAACCCGCCACCACCCGACACAGCCAATTAGTAAGGTTTGTCACGTAAACAGAACATGCCAATTCGTTACTGGTACAGCACACCGGTGTGTTGGAGAGTAAATCCACAACATTTACAATCTGAGTACGACGTGAACCTTACTAATTGGCTGTGTCGGGTCTTAACGACACATTTATATTTACATTTACAAAACACCCCCCCCCCCCCCGCGAAAAAAAACCTGTATTATTGATATTGGTCGTGAAAGCCTACGTGTTAAACTAATAAGTCATTGTATGCATTTTTCAAAGCAAACCCTGGCATTGGAGATTAAGCTTTTCAAATTGCACAGATGGTAGCATAATCATCATTCCTCCACAATCCAAAGGAACCTTAACACAAATGTGCTCTAATTTATGAACAATTCCACGCACAGCTGTTCATATTGGCATGTGTTTGAGATGTGGAGACGCAAGGCTATGAACCACTCAGATAAATGCCGTTGTTGATTTATTGTGGGGTAGAGTGTTGGTAAAGTGGTTAACGCACTGCGCTAAGGCTATGATCAGTGCCAGTTGATATGAGAACCGGTCTTGCCCTCCCCCATTCACCAACCCACACTGGCAGAGTGGTGAAGTACAGTCAAAATGCTCCCATGACGTTGGAAGGTCTTGACGTTAATGGTGAATTGAGAATGGCTGGAATGTATTGTTATCTCGCAACAGTTGGATCCAGTTGAAGTTTCATATCTTGTGTAAAGTTGCAGTTTTACCACAGACAGTGGCTAAGCCGATCTCCACCAAGTCCCAATGGCATCAAGCTTAGGGCTTACAGGTATATTATTTTTCTTCATGTCCGATGCTGTTCAAAATGACTGTGAATGCACGTGTGTCGTCGGCCCACCTGATTTTACTGCAGCGAGTTTCAATGCATACCATTGTTTGAATGTTCTGCCTTTTCATGCAATCTCTGTTCACATTCCTACGTTTTTTTGCATGTCCTTCGTGCGTCTAAATATTTTTTATGCAAAATTACTATTTAAAATTGTGTTTTTTTCTCTTTAATCTTTAATAACTCCACTGTCATAATATGAAGCTCCGACTTAATGGTTGACACTGTCAATCTTCCATTAAACCAAACACAATTCAAGGCCGGCACAAACAGGATTAAAGCGACTTGACTGGTGCATTCTGAAGGAACGAGACACTTGGGGTGACTCACGGCAGATTTAACATGAAAGGAGAATTAAATGTGTACCGGTGACTCACTTTGAAAACTATAACTTGTATTACTGTGCGGTCATTTATCAACTGCTTCCTAAAAGAACACCTAAATCAACTCCGATTAGCACGGTTGGCTACGTACGGTGCGACACAAGTCCAACACACATACCTCACTGCATCGGGCGATTTTCAGATGCGCTTCTGCGGCCGTCTGGAACGCTCTTCCTTCCGACATTAGGGAGCCACTGGGCTATGCACTTTTAAATCATCTACATTGAAATGTAATTGATTTAAAACTGCTTTTTGTGCTTAGTTTGTTGTCCTTCCCCGCACCTCCGATCAGCACGGATGGCCACGTACTGTGTGAAAGAAGTTCAACATACATGCATGCATGCATACATTTACTTAAGTTCTGTTTATAAGGAACACATCCTTACATTACACTGGTGGGGCAAGGTGAAGGACAACTTCTCATGCTGTACAAGCATACTCCGGATATTGTCAATTAGTGCGGAAATAAGAACACCTGGCCTTGCTCACAGGGGATGTGCTCATATCCAGCTCATTGCGCAGCGTAAAATTGTCGACTGCTACATCACGTCTTCACCCTTTCCTTTCCCACCCCCTCCCACGTTGAGTTTTTGAGTGTGTTTATGTGTTCGTCTGTTCTTTGGGGTTTCCCCAGGGATTGATCGGGATGGTTTATTCCGACTTGGCTCAAAATGTGTTCTCTTTTTTAATTTCCATCGGAGTAATACGTTGCAGTTAGGTGTGAGATAATGGTTCATACATTCTGCGTCTTGGCTTTTACCAATCGTCTATATTTCTGGTATTTGCAATCCGATGAGACGATTGCACGTATGTGACTTGTCTGGACACAACATATTCTTAGTTCTTTCGGTAAAGTCACGTTGAAGGGAAACAATAAAATAATAAAATATATATAAAACAATAAAAATTCTCACCGACACACCTGAAGACGACCGTTTGTGTTATGGTCGAAACGTCGTGAGAATTTTAGTTTTATATATATTATTATTTTATTGTTTCCCTTCAACGTGACTTTACCGAAAGAACTAAGAATATAAATTACTGCAGTCACGAAAGCTTTAAATCAAAATTTGGACACAACATGTTTGTGGGTTTTTTTTGGGCATTTCATGCCGCTCTAGATGTTGTCTTCAACTGTACTCAATGTAGCCTTACGGTTGATGCTGTAAGGAGCCGTCACGCGATTTTGGAAGATTTTTGACCCTCCCCCCCTCGTCACACGGCTTCACAAAAAGTCAGACCCCCCCCCCCCCTCAAATATGACGTCATAAAGCTCTTTCCCCCCCCCCCAAAAAAAATATATAAAACATGCTTCAAATCGCTTTAAACTATTGTCATTGTAGTGCGTATTTAATGTGCCGCTGCACTCTGATGTTGTAGGAGAAAACATTTATTAAAACGTATATTTAATTAAGTAGAACGTGTTGTCTATATTTATTTAAAGTTGCGCATTTTGATGTGACGTCACACATCGTCACAAATATCTGGCCCCCCACCCCCCTTAGGTGCGTGACGTAATTTTGGACGGCCCCTAAACCCTTAAAATAAAACTAAACTGTGGCAATACACTCAACAACAAAGGTCTCCCATGTAGCCATAGGGTCAATTGTTCAGAATCAGTATATGTATTTATACTGGACGAATCCGATGAGCTATAAAGCTCTTTGTCACACATGTTGCAAGTACGCAGCACTTGCTGCTATGACTATCTACATTAGAGGGAGATGTGGCCAATAACACACCAAGTCTCCTTTGTGTCACCAGTACTGAGTGAGATACACAAACGACACCAGGTGCTCATGTCTGGCCAAAGTAGCTGAAATTTATAGAAAGCATAAACATGCACACCTGGATACTGAGAAAGAAATAATAGCATAATGGCCAGGAAACAAACACAAATCGTATTCGTGGTTCTTTCGGTAAAGTCACGTAGAAGGGAAACAATGAAATAATAAAAATATAAAACAATAAAATTCTCACAGATTGGGAAGAGATAATTTTATTGTTTTATATTTTTATTATTTTATTGTTTCCCTTCTACGTGACTTTACCGAAAGAACCAAGAATATGAATCCCTGCAGTCACGAAAGCTTTAAATCAAAACACAAATCAGTTAAATTGTATTGACTATTAAGGAAAGCAGGTAGGCTTCGGCAGGCCACATCCTAGAAGCGGTGATGGCCAATGGACGTGACTGTACGTATGTTGAACTTCTTTCGCACCGTACGTATCCAACCGACTGGTGACGGAATGGCCGCCAAAGGAGATACCTGAGAGGAGGGTCACCGCGGAACAATGAGATACGTTCACGTGCTTGAGAGAAACGGATTGTGGCCTCACAGGGTCATGAAAGATGGCCTCCATCCAGCAGTGGATAGAGAATGGCTGAAGATAATAATGAATGATAACCTACGAGGGGCCCAGAACACGTTTAGCTACCCCATCCCATTGATGTTGTCCTTGGCTGGGAATCAAACCCATGTTGCCTTCATCACAGTACAGTTGCAAACCACCATGTGATACACACAAACAGAATATGCGCACCTGGGCTTGAATGTGTAATGACAGTAGAGTCTACGAGCGGTGTGAGTGGACTAGTGGCCACAGGAGGTAATGACAGGGGAGTCAGCCGACAGTGCGAAGGGATTAGTGGCCATGGGAGGTAATGACAGGGGTGTTAGCTTGCAGTACGAAGGGATTAGTGGCCATGGGAGGTAATGACAGGGGTGTTAGCTTGCAGTACGAAGGAAGGGACTGGTGGTTACGGGAGGTAATGACAGGGGTGTTAGCTTGCAGTACGAAGGGACTGGTGGCTACGGGAGGTAATGACAGGGGTGTTAGCTTGCAGTACGAAGGGACTGGTGGTTACGGGAGGTAATGACAGGGGTGTTAGCTTGCAGTACGAAGGGACTGGTGGCTACGGGAGGTAATGACAGGGGTGTTAGCTTGCAGTACGAAGGGACTGGTGGTTACGGGAGGTAATGACAGGGGTGTTAGCTTGCAGTACGAAGGGACTGGTGGTTACGGGAGGTAATGACAGGGGTGTTAGCTTGCAGTACGAAGAGACTGGTGGCTACCGGAATGATGGAGACGAGGAGCGTGGTCAAGTGACGAAGAGGATGGTAGAGTCTGCTGGTGGAGTGAGCGTCCAGAGTCAGCGAGAAAGTTCAGGAATGAGGGCGTGGCCTCGGTCCGTATATAAGGGAGATGTGCGGGAGACTCGGGGCTGTTGCAGTGGGGTCTCCGCCTTTGAGTTAATGTGTCTCGTCCAATAAAGAAACCGTCTCAAGAAAAGTGTGTCAAGTCGTCATTACAAATGTGTGAATGTGCATGAGCGACTTGTCTGAAGACATTCGACACCGGAACGTAGAATGACGTAATGCCCAAGTGTTAGCTTGGAAACATCAAGCAAGATGCAATTCATTTAAAACAAGGTGTGTTTGAAGAGGAGACGTGACTATCATGGTTGGAACATTATACGCCTGACATGTTCTCTGCCTAGCTGTGTTTTGTTTGCATTAAAGGCATCATTAAGCATTGCTGTGCAGTTATGTTTAACACTCATCACCCCCCAGCATAGAGTCAACTATCCCACATATACAAAGCATCCTTTTATTTACTAGGAAAATGACGTGTGTGTGTGTTCTTCTCCAAGAGAAAAGTTTTAATAGAAACTGCATACATGTGTTGGCAGTACATGTAAAACAAACCTTTGATACATGAAACTGCTAATAGTGTTCAAAATACGGAGGTTTGGGGTAAATATGCAATAATACACTGTACAATAGACCATCGTTGTTTCGTATAGAAAATTACAATGCTAAGTTTCAAATGTCAATGATAAATGTAAGGCTAGCTATGTTTTGAGAGTTTTCCTTATTGTCAAATTATTAGCATTTCATTTACACCTGTCAGAAATAATATAATCACCTGTTTTTACTTACAGTTTCACTGCAGGCAAGTCAGCAACGGCCAGTACAGGCGAGAGTTCCATTAAAATATTCTTAAAACTTACAAACAACAATAACATTGAGAGCAATACTGCAAAAAACAGCTGAGAAAACACATTTCCCAATTAAAGTGCAACCATTCCACTTAAGAATCCATAGCTTGTAAGCTCAACCCTGGAAGGACTCCATGCATTGTGCAGGGTCGACTTGCTTTATCAGAGCTCTAGAAAGCCAGCCAGGTGGGTTCCTGGCCAGTAGTGTCCACTTGAAAACAAAATCCCCACTAAAAGCTCAATAATACCAATCTCTAAGAATGTGGGGGCACTATCGGCAGATCCCATTATCCGTGCCTAGCCCATTATCCGTGCCTATCCAGGCCAACAACTCCTCATATACACCGGTCGAGAAGTAGTACAATGGTTAGCGCACTGTGCTATAAACCTAGCTGCCTGCGTTCCATTCCTAGCCACAGATAACATCAGTGGCGAGCGATATTTGAACCCGTTCCGGACCACATTTCCCCTTAACCAACCCTCCATAACTGAGATTGACAAAGGACTGTAAATTATTATTTCTTCGTGTGGTTATCCACAGATAAACAGAGCCAGTGGACAATATTTTCAACCTTTTCCAGCGTATTCCTCTTTACGTGTTGAAGACGGTATAGGTAATAAGATGAATTCGCCACTTCTGGGAGAGCGCTTCCAGGTAACGTGTATGCATGGATAATGCGATAAATTTCCCACTACAGTACTTCTGCGTGGATGATCCTCTCATTGCTGGATAAACATAAATGGGATTTTGTTTTGACACTTCTGTGTCATTCCTTTTACGGATAAATAAAACACGGGGTCATAGTAATAATACATTCTGGGATATTAACAATAATTTGAGTACCAGACTTGGTCAAAACGATCAGAAAGGAAACGACAGCGGTGCCATCGTAGTGTGCACGTGGAGATGTTTATACCTGAAAAGTGGTCAAACCTCATTCCGATTGTATGAATCGTCACGGCAGCCAGATGTCAATAATCAACTAAGTTCAGTGTTTGCAAATCTGCTCAAATCACTGCCACCGCAATCGTAGGCTGTATCAATCAATTAGTCTTCTCTCTCTCTCTGTTGGTGAAACGGGTGTCTAAATCACCAAGCCGCAACACCTGTGTACATTATTTAATTGAATCTCTCTTACAATTGAATAATCTTTCCAAAAGACTCACCTAAACGAACCCTAAATCATTCTCTGCCCCACCCAGTCATTTCCAGCCCAACCCTGTTAACCCGAGGCTAAACTGTCTCTTTTTTTTTTAATCAGAGCTGGCAACCCACAAGCAATACATTAGCCTGCGCCCGAGAGCAAAGCAATCTAATTGTCTCCGTGTACCGCACTTGAACTTGCACATTCGCTGCCCATCACATTGCCAATTTCATTAAAAAGTTAAATTTTTATGGACAAGGCAAACCAAAACAATTTCTGATAGGCCGCCCCAGCTATATCTCAATACTGCATGTTTATTATATGGGTATATATATTCTTGTATATACAAACATGGGGAGCGGTTGTGTAGCAGTTAGCGCACTGTCCTACGAAATCGGCGACCCGAGTTCGATTCCCGCCCATGGCCAACACCAGTGACAATTAAAATTCCTGGGCCTTCTCTAGGTCTACCCATCCTCAAATGAGTATCTGGTGCAGTGTGTAAATATCGCCAAGTTGGAGACAAATGCGACCGGGCATGGAGTAGCCACCCACTCCCTCATGCATCGTGCCAGCCTTCAGCGGTGCTCGCTAACAGCACTTGCCCCAAATCTTTTAAAAGTTATATGGGGGATCTTTATCGTTGTCATATTTACTTTTTGGTAGATTCATGTTGACATTCCCACACTCTAGAATTCGCCAATGTACATGGTGCAAATGCCATTTTACATTTTTAAAAAGACTGTATTCGTTTTAAAAGAATACCATGCTTTTGAATGAAAATCGTAATTTAATCCCCACAAAAGCTAGGATACACTGCATATAGCATTTTTTCCAAAACATAAAAGCAAGGTTAAACATTGAGAACCGCTATAATCCACGTGCAGTTTCAATTTCTTAAGTCACAGGATGCTTTAGATTGTTAGCATTCACTTGAAACTACCAAGAAAAAACTAAATCCGATTCTTCAAAAACCAGAAAGCCAACGATATTGCTGGAAAAGATCTTCTTTCTTTCACTGTTTGCAGGAACTGATCAAACAGGCACTCCGCTTCTGAAGGAAGCCGACGAGCAGCTTTAAATAATATTTTTGCAGCTGCTTTTTTCATGTTTTGTGATCCAGCAGGCGACGCTGGGACTGGTCACAGTTGCTCTGCAGGCGTTTCCAACGAAATTATTTGCTCCGTGGTTAACACCATCGACATTGGTCTCAGCCGTTCTTTGACTTTAACAAACTCCGGCACATTTCCGTTCTCCACGTCCTCCACTGCCTTCTCCCTTTCCTTTTCAATCTGCAAAAGACATTGACCATTGTCATAACCAACAATTAAATACAATTCAGAAAAAAAAACCACCGCATGCACATGACTTCTGGTTTGATTGTATGCAGTTTGCTATGCAGAAATGTGAAAAGTCCAAGTGTCTGCCTGTTGAAATTAGTAGTGAGGTGCAACCTCTTTCCTTTGGCAGCCCAGAACCAGTGGTGGAAATGCCATGTCTCAGCATGGCAGGAGTTGGGCTCTCCATAAGATGACCACATACGTACATATAAACCAAATTAACTTTCTCAGCTAGCTGTTTTCATGTAGACTATGAAATATAAACACTCCATTTGGTGGTATGGGAGAGTAACAGCATTCCCAAGGACTGGAAAAAAAGGCCTAGTCGTTAGACTTCCCCAAAAGGGACAGCTTGGCAACTGCGACAACTGGCAAGGAATGAGACTCGTTTCGCTCCCTAGCAAGGTCTTCTGCAAAATCCTGTTCAACGGGATTGACAGTCTTAGATTTGAAGCTTTCGTGACTGGCAGGAATCCATACTCTTTGGTTCTTTCGGTAAAGTCCCGTAGGTAAAAAAAAATAATAGATCACGAAGTTTCGATCGCAAACACAAGCGACCTTCATCAGGTGGGATAACCACAGCAAGGGCGGCGCCTACTTCAGCAGTTTTTTTCTTGCTGCGAATCTATAACAGCAATGTAAAATCAGTGTTACTGTACAATAGTGAAGGTTGGAGAACCACCAAGATAGACGTGAAATCCCTATCAACCTTCCACAGCAACTGCCTGAGGAAAATCTGTCGCATCTTCTGGCCGAACAAGATTTCAAACCGGGACCTGTAACATCAAGACCAATTCAAGATGCACAACGCGGGTCGTAACAGAGAGAAGACTCAGGTGGCTGGGACACGTGCTGCGAATGGAACGCGAGTCCAGGGCGAGAACTGTTGGTTATGGACACCAAGAGGGAAAAGACCACGGGGCCGGCCTAAAACCACCTGGAGACGCACCATTAAAACCCAACTGAAGACCTTGGGCCCGTCTTGGGGTGAAGCAAAGAAAGCTGCTAAATAATCGTCTGGCAATGGCGTGGGCTTGTTGCAGCCACAGGTAGCGAACAGAAGTAAGCAGAAATGATTACTTAATTTATGTTTCTGAGTTAAGCATTCGCATTGTAAATATATATTGGAGTTCAATGCTTACATTAGTACGAGTTTCACACAGGCAAGCAGGAAGGAAATGGTTATGCAGGCACCATTTGGCAGCATATAGGTTATTTATATAGCACTTGTTTTAGTCGTAGGGAATGTAGTCTGTGCATTCTGTGTTGTTAATGTTACAGCAGCGGCCTTCATTTCCAAAGACAGCACTGCTCAGATCATTGAATGAAGGAAACTGGAATAAATGGGCCAATTTGACAAGGCTTGGATATTGAAGTGATGCTTGCCAAGACCGCTGCTTCCTAGAGGACATCCCATACAGAACTACAGTGTCATTTAAAAGTGTCGCCTCAATTCTCTGGTTATTTTCAAAGAAAGCTGAGCTCTGAAATCACGAAGGAGTTCAATTACCCTTCTCTCTATAAGCCCTGCATGAAGTGATAAATTGCAAAGGGAAAAGTACCAAACTTTGTAATTTTCTGGAAAATGTGCGATTGCATAAACACGTGAGCAGCTCTCATTAGACACTTGCCGTTTGTAATGTCACATGTGCAACACGTTCGTACCAATCACATACACACTTTAGAGTATCCATCCCTATATTTACAGCTGTAGGGTTCAGAAAGGATGCTTCCTGTGTTGAATAATTAACTCGTCCTCTATCTAACATTCCACATCAGTGGAATTTGAAAATTAAAATTAAATAAAAAGTATGATTACACATCCCCCCCGAAGCCACCAATTAAATTTTTGTCTCATCAAACAGTTACTGTTTTCACACCTCATTTCCAAATAAACTACCCACTGGAAAACATCCAATACTTCTTGCTATAGTACAGCTATAATTTATCCAGCAATACCAATATAATTTGAATACAAACTTTATTCAGATTGTGGTTTTACTGAGATCATTATAAGTATATCATTAAAAGTACATTCGTTTTTTTTCAGTTTCATTTATTTGGTATAGCACTGATGAGCTATTCGGCTCTTGAATCGGGTGCAACCGCAACATGATGGTATTCTATATAAACACAAACCAAAACATGTTTTATATTACACGGTCACTAATGACAGCAAATCGCATAGTATGTTGTGGAATAACCCATACGTTACTTCACAGCTCTATTTTACACACCCACTAAATAAACCAGCGGTATTTTAGCATGAGTGGAATCGCAACCCTGACTTTGAGGAATTTTTCGAATCGCCAGAGTGGTGAATCGTTAAATCCCTCGTGTCAATCCACCGCTGGAGCAGGGCATCCCTTACTCCATGCATCCAGTGGCCCAGTAAACATGGGACGTTGGGCCAACGTCAACTTTGGCCCAACGTTGCATACCTACTGTGTTGAGGGCTGTTTAACCATTCTGTGTAGTTTCATTGTAAATCGATTTTTTATATAGTTTTGGCTGAACAGACACAAACCTGCTCAATCTTCTCGTATCTCTTGAGCAGCTCCGCGTCGAACATGGACTTGGGCCTCTGGGCGTCGAGGTTGCGTTGATGGAAGTGTTGGTCCCTCCGTCTCTGCTCCATCACCTTCTGCAGCTCGGGCTTGGTGCGCAGGAGCACCCCTCTGCACGCCAGGCAATAATATCCAGGTCAACTCCCCCCATTCCCAACCCTGTTACTCACAGCTCCTATTATCCATGGTCTGCGAAAATGCATGTGTGACCCTATTTATTATTTTAGCCACAATTACCCATAGTTTTTCCCATACTGCTTTGCTGGAAGGATTACTCTTATTAGAATGTGTTCATAAATAAGAGTCACGTGGCAAAGCCATCCTATTATCCACGGATTGTCTATTTTTCCTGGTGATAAGTGGAGTAACATCACAGAGAACCCAGAGGATAATAGGATCCGTGATGTTGGTCTCCCACATCACCATAAACAACAGGAGTTCTCCTCCATAATAGAGGTGTTTTGCTTCTCCTGTACAGTACTAGTATTACAACGCACGTGCTTATATTGATTCAAAGTTAATTATAAATTGTGCTTTTATGGCCTTAACGACTGTGAAAATTTGATGTTTTCAGTTCAGTTCTATGCATTCCTCCTGATAAAACTTTTTTTTAATGAAAAATAATTTTCCCTGCTCATTATTTCTGCCAGAAAGTTTAAGCTATAAATATGAACTTCATTAGATTGCATTTTTTTTCATTAAAAGTTTATTGAAGATTATTTCATGATTGTAATAAAATGGCCAATATGCATTGCAACTGGATGGTTGATGAACGTAATGGCAATGTGAACTAGATGAGTCATCAAATGAAACGTAAATTGTCCAATGCACTAATTTTCACCACTGGGGGGAAAAACAGCATTGTCCACATCACATTATGAGGAAGATAAACTTCTCCTTTGTTTAAAGCACACACGCACAACATTACTATAAACAGATCCGTTACCATGTGCGGTGTTAGTTTCCTGTGTCAACCCTGACTGCACTATTTCCCACTTTGAAGTCTGTACAACACCTGTGCCACTACTCTTACCAGGTTAACGGTTATATTACAGATATGATCCACGTGCCACCCCAACTTTGTCGTGGATAGGAGTGCTACTTCACTGTAATTGTACTGAATCCACACAACGAATGGATAATCACTCGATAGTGAGCTGATTGTCTATGAACTCCTGTTATTTAAAGCTTCCATCATCAGCATAATCGGCATTATGTATGTCACCGTTTATTTAAAGCTTCCATCATCAGCATAATCGGCATTATGTATGTCACCGTGTTACGTGGAGAACAATGCAGCAGACTCTTAAACAAACACCATGATCATTATCGTCTAAAATGGTGCAGGTATCTCATAGAAATTTCTAAACAACGATGGGATCGTTTTATCACCCACAACTCCCTCCCGCCGTGGCTATTTCCCTGATGCCTTCCCACAAACGTGAGCTGGTGAGAGATGTACAGGGTGGTCCTGATGTCTTGTGACCCTCATTTAATTCTCTAAAATGTTTTTTTTTCCCCCCGTAAGGTTTATTTAAAACATAAATGAATACGCAAAGGAAAAACATTTTCTGGGTCAATTAATTTGGGGTCACAAGACATCTGGACCTCCCTATATATTTGGTGGGCTGGGTTGTTCCCTAGCTTTCAAGGGAATGTAGCAACATTTTTAATCCAGAATTATATTTAATATTTTAAAAAGGGTTTCTTTTTATTGTCACATGTACTACACCATGTTATCCAATGCCGTTACCACAAAGGGGGGAACAGCTGTTTATGTATGTATGTTTAACTTTTCTAAATCGAACCAAACATTAAACTAATTTTCAATGGTACAGTATATTTTTTCAAGTAGTGGTACCCCAAACTTTCGCAGCTGCTTAAATTCCCTTTTCACACCATCAATATTTAAACTCCCCCTCCCCCCCTCGCCGGTCTGCACATGTTCACCCCCTCTACACCGTTCATCATGCTAAGTCCGCCAATTAAATGCTAATTTTTATGCTAATTCCTTTGTCAAGGCACCTTAATTCCTCTCACACAAGCTTAAAGGTCGCGGTCTGAGCTTGGCTGTGTTCACTCCAGCGCTGTCCTCGAGACAGTCTGGTCCCTTCACCTGATGAAGGCCACTTGTGTTGTGGCCGAAACGTCGTGAATTTTTTTATTTTTTGTTGTTTTATACTTTTACGTGACTTTACCGAATAGAACCAAAGAGTATGTTTAACTTATTTCGCACCGTGCGTAGGCAACCGTGCTAATTGGAGGTGCGGGGGAAGGGCAACAAACGAAACACAAAAAGCAATTCTATGACAGAGAACGTGTTCACATTCTACGATACTAAATATTTTCATCATTAGGCCTCCTTTGCCAGTACCAAAATGTAATAATAGGGGTTTTAACCCTTTTTTCTGGCAACAAAACTGAAACCTTTTTACAAGGATTCATGTCTGCATTAACCACAATACCTGCAGTCAAAATGCAAAAAAAAACATACTATGATAATATATGCATTATCCTTGAAACTGATTGGTCCACACCAAGCCGTCCACATCAAGCCGTCCCTTGGTGTGGACCAATCAGTTTCAAGGACAATGCATATATTATCATAGTATGTTTTTCTGTTTGCATTTTGACTGCAGGTATTGTGGTTAATGCAGACATGAATCCTCGTAAAAAGGTTTCAGTTTTGTTGCCAGAAAAAAGGGGAAAAACCCTATTATTAAGTATTTTCAGCTTTTACCCATTTTCTTCGCCATGCACCGAGAGAAAAATAAAGGAGTTCATGGTTCAGAAAATTAGAGACCGGTAATGAGCGTGGAAAAATTGAGTGGGCTTAAGGTAGGACACAACCGCTAGAAACTCTGATAGCCAATGGAATGGTAATTGAGGGAGAAAATGTCGAGTGGATGAACACTGTGGAGGTGGGATTAGTCCGTGTGCGGCAGTGAGATGGAACGTCACTGTTCAGACTAAAATATAAAGCCTACGTGCACCTGTACCTCGCCTTTCATATTACACTTCCACTGCTTTTGACTTGCATGTATTTCGCTTATGACCGCCAAATACCTCGTTTGTCAGTTGTTAAATATGCCTTCATGACCCTGTACTATTTCTCTGCAATTTGAACGTTTTTGTTTTGTTGTTGCTGCTGTGCTCCGGATCTACGGAATCTTTGGTGTAAAATAGGCAGGCGACTGCCTCAACGGGATCATCCGTGGTGAACATCAAAATGTAGTTGACAAAAAAAATGTATCTAGATAGTGCAACATGGACTCACGTATATCCTAAGGCTATACAAAATGTATGCTCCATTATTTTTTTCAGACCGTTTCACTATTAGACAATTCTGACAATGTACTTCTACCCCCTCTTACCACCCGAACAGCACCCAACCATGTACTCTCTATCTCCGTTCTTATCTCACGCTTACACTCGCGACGCAGTTTGTCTGAACGTATGTTTTTGCGTTTGCTTGCGTATTATCTCCGGTTGTGCCCTTGGAGCGTGCGGTGCATTTGAATGTTTAATAAAATATCGCTTTGGAAAGACAAAAAAAATGTTGTAGATGGCCGTCCTTGAGCATGTGCCCCCCTCATACCCTCATGGGTAGAGAATTGCTGCGTTGAGTTGCTACCCGCATAGGCAGACACTGTTGCTTCACTTAAAATCCATTGTTTGGTTGAATTTATTTGTTGACGAGGGTAGGAAACATTCAGCCTTACGCTGTTTTGTATGAATGACCCGCGTAGGACCTTGGTGAAAAGAAAAGGAAATTACGGCAAATAAATCAAACGTTGGAAACACTGAGTAGCAAACACATTCAAGGAAATAAAAAATATTGAAGTCACGCACCACTCAAGTAACAGTGGCAGGTAACACAGAAATATCTAATTGACTCGCGTGGGGTTCACTAACCACATGTGCAAGAAAATGGGTCTCTTAAATTTAATTAAGGAGTTTAAAAACAAGGCCTCCTCTGTGCGTATCCAAGCGTCAGAGGTGCAGCCACTTTGGGGGTGTTGTGTGGATTATAAATGTTTTTTTTTCTTATCGAAGTTGTGCAAGCACAGCCCGAAAAAGTCCCAAAATGTCAAACGTGGCGAGCAACAGACAGCACAAGTAAGAGTTGTCACATCTCTTGAATTGATCTCGGTCCTACGAACTTGAGATGTAGACGATTAAAAGAGACATCCACAGCTTTTTTTAAGGGAGAAAAAAATCGTGATATCCTTGGGTATGTGATTTGCCTGCTGCACAAATGTGACATAAATGCCGACTGCGATGGAAGCTTCAACTCTGTACGTACGTGTGCTGAACTTCTTTCGCACCGTACATAGCCAGCCGTGCTAATCGGAGGTGTTATATGAACAGTCATTGGCCAAGAGTTACCAGTAGTCGCATAAATTTAATATAACCAGTACAGTAGTTTATATAATCAAACATATGATAAATAGGGTGTGCAAGTATTAACATATAGCTTGCCAACAGCGATTGTTGGCAGCAAGTAATGGGCACCTGTGCGTTCGTGATGTAACCAATCACCACCAATCCCGAGTGAGACAACCCGTAGCTTCCAATGTGAGGCTGTGCCCTTACTTTGGCATGGCCAATGTGTGAGGCCACATTTTCACAATACACAAGAGGGACTTTTTTCTTACAGGTGTGGCAGTTTTGATGTCAGCTAAGCCTGTTGGAACACTATTCAATTGTCCTTACGATGAAAAAGGAGATTTAGGAGTTTTTTTTTAAATATCCCTACAGCAGGAAATGAATAAAGCTCCTTCAGTGTGTGTACAGGTGGGTCCATATGTCTTGTGACCCCCATTTAATTATCTAAAACGTATCTTTTTTTCGGGAAGGTTTATTTAAATCAGGTTTATGAGACAGGGAAATTAATATATAAAATGATAAGGGGTCACAAGACATCTGGACCAGCCTGCACAACTGCTAATGCTGAGTGCTGTATTCAATACGATGCAGACAATCAACGGTCTTACGCTGTCAGCCATTTGTCTATCTCTCTACACTCGCGACCATAGCAGCTCCATACTATAATTGCTTTTACCTTTAGATTGTGAATACATAATACTATTCACGTTTCTGCATTATTCTGATTGCAGGATGTGGCTGTAGAATCTCGATCGTCTAAATGCACGCGGAAACAACGTAATGGGGCACCTGTGTTCTGCTCATTAAAGCATGTGATTCTGAAATCGATAGGAACCTGTATTTTAAAAATAAATCCACGGTTAATTATTTGTTGCACAAAATGGTTAACGTAGCCAACCCCACCTTTGTCTACTCATGTTAAAAGCCTTCTTATAAAGTGTAACCTTTAAACTTTAAAACAACTTTCATTCGATTGAGCATGTTCAAACTGCCCAGCATTCTTCAAGACCAGTTTTTCAGGTCCTGGTATTTATCGAATACCTTGTTAACAAGGGTGCCTCTTCTCTCTCTGTTCATGTTTTGATTTTCAGTTTGGTTTGCTGTTTAATTATCAAGCCGTTATTATTTAGTTTGCTGCTTTATCCCCAAAAAGTTGTACTGCTTCGGTAAGTTCATATATTATGTAGTGACATATTACATACAATATACAATCGTAACGATGGAAAGCAAGAATTCAATCCGACTGCATCCTAATTAACCATGTTACTATGAAGGATGCAGATGTGCATTGAGAGAGCACCTACTAGCAAGAACGGCTGAGGAGTTTGATGACAAGGATGGTAGCATAAGCAGGCTTTCATCCCAACATAGAGTCTTGGCTTGGTTCAAATAAAGCGTGTCGGAAACCCGGCCGTTTTGACGACTTTCCGAACGATCATGACGCGAACATGACGCCAGGAACATGATCGGCACCCAAAAGGCATGCCGTTAAAGCAGCACAGTTGTGAATCGTCGTGCGGTTACCCGACCCGATGCAGGACTCGAACCGATGAGGGTACAGCAAGGGATATGACAAAGATGGTTCACATCAGTTGTATGCACAATGTGAGCAGCTGTACGAGAGATTATGACGTTCAAGAGAGGTGGCAAGCATCTGTCATGGGTATAAACCCTCGGTTATGAAGACGACGCGAGATAGAGAGATCAGGTTACACCACGCTGTGGATCAATACTCATAATTGCAGAGCGGCACATTTCTGCCTCTTTCAGGACACAACTTGCGGAGATCCCTTTGTGTGTGTGTGTGTTGACTGTAACTTACTGTTTTTGGTTCATGATAAGTTCCCTTGTGAGCTCCTTGTAGCTGGGTGAGGTGTGGAGGGGGCTCATCAGCTTTTTGGGTTTGATGAGGTCTGGGCATTCATCAGGGTAGTCGGGGTCACTCATGGTCCTCTGCAGAGCACGTTTTTGCAGTACTCCATAGTCCGGAGCTACGCACAGACAACAAAGGCAAATTATGCAAAGCAATCACTAACACAAAGAAAGCAATCACTTACAGAGATTAAATAATAGATATTCCCTGAGTCACTCCAATGCTGGATGAAGGCATCCCTATGCCTTCTCATTAATGGGGGGGGGAGGGGGGGGCTTGTATTACTAGTCAGTATTCCCTTGTTATTCACGAATTTGCTATCCGCAATTTTGACTATCTGCGAATCGCAACTGGAACTCTACACGACTGCATTGATAGAGAGAAAGAAAGTGATGAGATAACGTGATCAGATCATTTTCATGTATTTAAAAATAGCTTGTTTATGTATTCATTTAGGGAAATTCATAAAAAATATATTTTTCGTAGGTCAATATAATTACCCGCGAAATGTGCTATTCACGAGCATCACCAGAACGTATCCCCCACGAATAACGTGGGAACGCTGTACTTCAGCAGGTTGGCCAGTGCTGATTAGTGAAGCTGGGGGAGCAGGGGCAAAGAGGCTCGGACCGGTTAAGATATCGCTCGCCGCTGACATTATCCCTGTCCAAAACTAGAAATGATGCACAATGATTAAGCGACAAGCTTCTGCCAGTTCACTGCTGCATTCAAAGCATCCCCATGTCCACGTCACTCACGGGGGTTCCTTTGGCCGACTGTACTTCACCACGCTAGTCAGAGTGGGTTGGTGTGTGAGGTGCCCACGACCGACTCGGATATATTCGCTCACCACTGACGTTAGCCACGGCTGGGAATGGAACCCAGACGAACAAGGTTCATAGTATACTGGGATAACCAATGTGCCACAGCCTGGAAAAGCCATTGCTTTATTTACATTTCAGAAGAGGAAATATGGGGAGTACAATTAGGGGCTCTTCTTGTGGTGCTCTTCATTAATGAACCTTTCGGGTCTTTGTATTTGTGAGAGTGTAAGCAGTTCTCAACTTTGCTTTACAGATGCTTTTAAGTGGGGTTTGTTTTAAATATTTTACAGACCTCGTAAAGCAGTAAAAAAAAAGTGTCAAGAATCAAAGTTCTTTGACGAAAACCAAATTGAAACAGTCAACTTATAGTTTAAGTGCTGCAATGCAATCGATTGCCTACATCCGGAAGCATCGCTGTTTATTTGCAGCAGTTTTTTTTTCTTATTGTTGTTTGGAATCTTGGAAACTTTCCACTTTTGCATGCACATGTGCCACCACTTGGACAGCCTAAGAGATTGCTTATTTGCCTGTGTCAGGCATGAACGCCACACAATTTTAAGCAAGCAATGCGTTCAATTCACGCCCATGAATTTCGCAACACATGGAAAGCTACGCATTGGAAGCCACACGGCATGCACTGCCAACATACAAAATTAAACTATGAGTAGAATATAGTACTTCTACATTTTATAACGTGTGTTGCGGGGGAGGGTATATATTTATATATAATACCATGTTTCCTAATAGAATACATTATATATTTATATTCTTCAACAACTCGTACTGACCAACGTGTAAAAGTATGGCCAAACAAACTCATGACTGAAAGGTGAGCCCTTTATCCAGCAGTGGATTCACTAAGGGCTGTACATTTATGACGTAAGTTTTTTACAACGATAAATATTGTTGCAGTAAACTTCCACGTGGCTAAACTCCTCTTATCCGCACCTCCGATTGGCACGTACGGTGCAAAAGAAGGTCAACATACAAGGCTAGTATCCACTTTTCTTGTTATGCATGGGCCAGTGCTTATCTGTGCACATTCCTATTATCTTCGTAGAGTATTCACAGAAAGAATAAGTTGCGTAATAAATTGCCTCTACAATCCGTGAGTAATAATAATCATTCGTGTTTGATATCGCGCCCTTCACGCCGTGGTGTCTCCGAGCGATTTAGACACGATAAGCGACTTGCATGAACATCCCATCTCGATCATTATTCAAGGACAGGTGGAATTATTTTTGTGGGTCGTCACAGACTATAGGACCAACTAATAACACCCCTCCCCACAGACATAATTGCATATAAGAGCTCTCCTATTCACGTAGATAGAATAATAAAATAATTAAAACATTTTTTTTTTATATATATAAAATCAGTTCTTGAGGAAGTACTCAGCATGTGGAGCGAAATGTCACACAATGTCGAATAACGCGGGCTAAAACCGAAAGGTACGTTTGTGGGGCAGTGCAGCACAACTGTAACGACCTGTTCAGTGGAAGGTCATTCATTTTGAAATAAAAACTCGTTTGGAAAGCTCATTATTGTAGTCGAATCAAATACATTATTTAAAAAAAGAATTTCATCTCAGGTCATTGGAATAGTTTCCCACAAATGAAACTAACCGTTTGTATTATATTTGATGTAAAGATGTAAGTAATGTACCTGCATTTAGGGTTTTAAAATATATTTGGTATATAATATTGTACAGGCTCACAAGTCATACTCCGTTGAATATAATCTGTCACTCTGAAAAAAATATGGTATACGTGTGTTTACTTAAAATACACACACAAACTGAAATATTAATTGGTTGGAAAGCATTATTTTATTTTATACAGATGCACCTAACCCTGAATGACCATGTTATGATATGCACCCTTAGGGAAATTAACATGCAGAAGTTATCTACTAATTCATTTTCCAAATTTACCCCAAAGGGAGTTTAGTATGGGTTCGTAGTTTAACATGCGTGTATAGAAGGATGTCATATTAATGAATGCGACACAGCACTTTACAAATATAGTGTTTAATTCCACTCAAATCATGTAAAATGTGTTATTGAGTGAGGAAAATGTACAGTGTGTGAAATAACATTTCGTGTCTGACGTAATTTTGTTATTTTTCAATCGCGTGCGATTTAACACATTCCTCCACACCAGTTGAAGGGTGGCTATTCATAGGGCTAAATAAATTTGACATCAGTTTTTATTATCATCCAACTAAGAAAAGGGGGCCATTCTCGCGAAAATATAATAGTACGTACTTTCTCAGTGCAGCCTGCATTCTGTGCGTCTACACGCGAATATGAAGCCCCATGATTATACAACACATGTTGTATCTACACACCTGGCAACCCAGACGGTTTACCCCGTATTCTTGTAAGGGAAATTGAGTTTTCAGGTCCATATGGCGTACAGCCGTTTCAATACGGGAAAACACGTTTTTGTCCATTTGTTTGCGTCTCTCCCTTGTGATGGGACTTTGTAGGATGAACGTTGAGATTTATAAGGGGCACGGGGTGACCAATAAGGTCCGAATTAGTCTGTAATAAGGTAGGGCACTGATAAGGGCTTGGAAGGTGCGTATCTAGGTCCTCGTAAGTGATTACAGTCCGCATCGTGGTTGTTATATTTTGTTGTGGCACCAAATGACCTGGAATAGCTTTGGTACGTGTTTTACATTTACCGTAAATAGATTACGTGTTGACGGTGCTGCTGCGTTGGAAGTTGTTGTGCACAATCACAACTAATATAAACAAATCGACACTTTCGTCAATAACACTGTGGCCTTCAAAATAGAAAGAGTACAAAAATACGCAACGTTTCGAGGAATGGTCCTACGTCACAGAACCGAGAGAGGCCATGTGACATAAAGAAAGCCCATTGCCCAAAACGTTGCCTGTTGTATGATTTGTTTTATACTTAAAGGCGAATGTATTGGGAGTGTTCACCCCTCATGGCAACGAGGTAAATCAAGACCTCTTGTCTTACCGGAAGGCAACGTAATGTTGGAACAATTTTAGTTAATGCGACAGCCAAAAAAAAACACATTCTGCAGCATTTTCACGCGTTGTAAAACGAACGACATCGGCATGGAAATTGTGAGTGCATCTCTTGTGGCTGACAGTTCCTTTCTCGCTTAATGGGCCACAGCGTGTAACCATTGCAGACGTAGCATTTTTGTGTTGTGCCAAATCCCACGCTGTATTGTTCCAAAGATAAATTCGCGGACAGTGGCAGATTATCACGGGCAAACTTACAAATGCCTGTAGCAATGCGCTGTGTGAATTACCTCTCGCACTGAATATCACATCACGAGACCAGCTTTCCTGAACGCTGGCTCGAGAACTGGCACAACCAGTTCTAATGATTTACACTTCGTGCAGATGCGCCGTGTGCAATTATAAACCAGAGACTGTCATGCCTCTGTATAATGAAATATTAGTAGTCACTCTGTGCGCGCGTTACACGTAAATGGATAAAGTAGAATAGTGCAGTACTCTTTTACGATAACATTGCCCACGAGAACGGGTTGGAAATGTATATTAATTAATGTGTGCTCACACGTAATGTCTTTATCCGAAAATACTTTTAATATTTATATAATGAAGTGAGCGTTTAGGTCAGAGACTGAGTCTCTATTAAAAAAAACGCACGCCACTGCACGGACGTTAAGATCGTATGTTGGGTTTCTTTCGCACCGTACGTAAGCCAACCGTGCCAAATCGGAGGTCAGAGGCAGAATCCGAGCAGGTAGCTAAGGGAGGTATAGAGCCAACGGCTCGCTCATCGGAAGGTTGCGACTTATAATGCTGGTTGAGATGTTGACTCGGCCCATCATCCCACTGGGGTCAATACATTTTGTACCACTTTGTGGGAAAATCAACAGTTCGTTGTCCTATGGTTATACACGAGCCCGCCATATGAATGTCGAAATCCAGAACTGGCTCAGGGTTATAATAGGCGATGAGCACCGCGTCAATGATAATTCGAGCAGTAAAATCACTCTAACTTGGAGAGAATCACCAGCGGGAGGTATAAGTTGGTCTCAATTCCATTTTTTGAAGCTCTGGTTGCTGATGGTAGGATTGCCACTCAGGTAACGTACCTGGCAAATATATTAGTATTGCCAGAGCATTCAGAGTCCCCGTTTTTTTGTCGGTTGCGTAATGATGGATCACTCAAGACAACGCGTTTACAGTTAATTATCCCCTCGTCGACTTCTTCTTCTCATCTCCTGTTTTTTTTCTCTACCTCAGGAGGTAGCATACCCTGTTTGGTAGCGAAGCTAT